TAGTAACCATTCAGCTCGAATACGTTAAAGACAACTATGAAGTCACAGTATCAAATTTCATTGTTGTGAGACAACTTACGATTAACGCCAAAAATTTAATTTTAATTCGATTTTTAAGCAGTTTTCAATGTTTCACTCTGTTAACAAGTCTTTTCCACACTGGATAAATCACATATCAACGCTAAGATAGCCTAATAAACCTTCCCATAGCAGCACAAACATCACCCTCTCACTATAACCTCATTTTCGATGTAAAGTAAACTTATCTCAATAATCTCTCAATAGCCGCCATCATAACACACATCTCTCATCTTAAACACCAAGCCCCATATTCACCCTCCTTAAATTGATACTTACCGTTTCTGCCTGCTCCGAGCTTTAATCTGCTTTCAGCTTAATATTTTTTTAACCCCTTTGCATATGCGTAACTAAGGCACTCTGGTTCGCTTCAAGCTAGGAAACATAATTTACCTGACCACTCAAATATTAGTGACAGCATTTGAAAGAAAGTAAATTTTCCTATCAAATGAGTGTTTGAAATACAAAATTTCTTACAAAATGACTGAGATATGACCATTTCAATTAATTCACAATATTTCCATTTCTAAATTTTTTCTCTATAATAACCCTTTGAAAGTAAGCGGAGTTGATTTCCTGATAATTCTACCGGAATGTAAATTAGGCAGGTCGAAAGGTCAGCAGCTAAGGAGGCCTAATACGCATGCAAATCTCGTGCGCATCTGTCTCTGTGTCTGACGCTAAGGAGGCCAAATATGCATGTAAATCTCGTGCGGATGCCTTTGTGTTTGACGTCAGTGTGCGAGGACTATTGAAATTGGCATGGAAGTCCTCGTGTAATTTAAATCGATTAGTCTACATTCTTAATGTCTAAGTCTACAATTTTATTTCACAATGAAATGGAAATATAAGGAATCACTGTCTAGTTTTGAGAGTATGCCAGGGACATCAACAATAGTGGGAAACGGGATAACTTTAGCATAACGGGCTTCGCCCGTTATGCAAATTATCCCATGTTTCCCACTATTGTTGATGCCCTGGCATACTCTCAAAACTAGACAGTGATTCCTTACATATCCATCTTAGTAATCATTCCGCCATACGACTATAAGTCACAGTATTAAATTCAATTGGTGTAATGCATCTTCCATTAAACGCCAAAAAGTCATTTTTAGACCGATTTTCGAGGGTTTTTCAATGTTTGACTCTGTTTACAACTCTTTTCCGCACTGGATAATTCACATTTCAACTCTAAGATAGCCTAAATAACGTTCCTATAACGGCACAAACATCACCCTCTCACTATAGCCTCATTTCCGATGTAAACTCACTTATCTCAATAATCTCACAATGGCCGCCATCATTACACACATCTCTCATCTCAAACACCAAGTACCACATGCGCCCTCCATGATACTTACCGTTTTTGCCTGCTCCGAGCTTTTATCTGCTTTCAGCTAAACATTTCTAGACCCCCTTTGCATATGCGTAACTAAGGCACTCTGGATGGCTTGGGGCTTAGAAACATAATTTTCCTGACCTTTCACTCAAACTCTAGTGACAGCATCTGAAAGAGCGTAAAATGTCCTATCAAATGAGTGTTTGAAATACAAAATTTGTTTAAAAATGACTGAGATATGACCATTTCAATTAATTCACAACATCCATCTTAGTAACTATTCCGCCATTATTATCTAAGAGATGACTATGAGGTCACAGTATTAAATTCCATTATCTGCTTTCAGCTAAATATTTCTAGACCCCCTTCGCATATGCGTTACTAAGGCACTCTGGATGGCTTGGGGCTTAGAAACATTATTTTCCTGACCTTTCACTAAAACTTTAGTGACAGCATCTGAAAGAGCGTAGCATTTTCTATCAAATAAGTGTTTGAAATACAAAATTCGTTAAAAATGACTGAGATATGACCATTTCAATTAATTCAAAATATCCATCTTAGTAAGCATTCCGCCATATTTATCTAAGAGACGACTATGACGTCACAGTATTAAATTCCATTGTTGTAATACAACTTCCATTAAACGCCAAAAAGTCATTTTAGACCGATTTTCGAGGGGTTTTCAATGTTTGACTCTGTTTACAACTCTTTTCCGCACTGGATAAACCACATTTCAACTCTAAGATAGCCTAAATAACGTTCCTACAACGGCACAAACATCACCCTCTCACTATAGCCTCATTTGCGATGTAAGCTCACTTATCTCAAAAATCTCACAATGGCCGCCATCATTACACACATCTCTCATCTCAAACACCAAGTACCATATGCACCCTCCATGATACTTACCGTAATTGAGCCTTCATGATGAGGAGTATATTCAGAAAATTTTGGAAGATGGGGAAAAAGGATTCTTTATAATTCTTTATATAGATCGGTGTCTTCCTCAAATGAACTTCCATCTATTTACATCACAACATAGTATACATTTACATAAATGGATGCTTTCTCGTATGTACTAGGTTAAAATCAAGCTAGAGTATTTCAGATTAAGTTAATCAGAATGTTTTGAATCAGAATATATAGCACCCCTAACCCCCCCCCCCCTGAAAAAAAAGTTTTCAAGAGAGAGAAATAAAGGAATAATTGTTTGTTTCTTTTCTTTTTATTTACAGGTAAGACACTGCCAGGTGTTGCTGCATTATCAGACGCTGCTTAAGTTTATTTTGTAGGAAAGAATTAGGAGGAATTAACAATCTTTTTACAGTAGATTTATGGACTTGTCAACAAAAATCATGTATTGACATAAAGAATATAGATGTTACATGTATTACATTAGCTGCAGATCTGTAGCGTTATGGTTTTATATAGTAGTCTTGACCATAACGCTACAGATCCAATAGTGCAAAAAAGGTGCAATTTACGGCGCAAGATTTTCTGCGCTCGGTTGAGGATAGATATCTGCACTTTCCAGCATTAATCACTCGGCTACCGTTTATCCCCTAAGTCTAGACATATTTTACTACCAACCTGTACATTTTATCCACCTCCAAACCCTCTGTAATCGTCTCTACGGGCCGACGAACTCGATTGTTTTGAATTTTCTGCCATCCGACAGCCATGTTGACCTACTAGCGAGATCTCGCTAAAAGGTCACGTGATATATGGAATGTGGAACACACGTGTTGATAACGTAAACAAAGTGCCGGTTCCTCGTTTTTCTATCGATTTCGTACAAAATAAAGTTTGGCAACACTTTTCTGTGATTTGCACTTATTTTTTAAACACATTTAAATGATTTTTCAGGGAAAACACAGACACTTTCATTTATTTTTTTGTCAAAATATTGGTATAAATAATCAGAGGCTTCAGGTAGTTGTTGATTTTGCAGTATGACAAAATGGCGCGACCCAGAAATGTCACCGAAATATTTAACAACGAAATTAAAGAGCAATTTCATTTCAATTTTGAATTGAAGGACGAACAGGTACGGGTTGTAGATAGTATTCCACAACATAATCACACAGTTGGTGTTTTTCCAACAGGGTTTGGTAAAAGCATATGCTATCTTTTACCGCCCTTGATATTTGACAGACTTGACAACAAAGTACAGCATACATGTATTGTGGTCTCGCCATTAAAGAGTTTAATGCTTGACCAGTGCAAACATAATGCCAGTCATGGAATCAGTGCAGCAGTTATACAAGCAAAAGATGAAATGTCCTCAAAAGTAGTGGAAGGTATTTATACATAATGTTAGAATTTAAATCAGTGCATTCCTGTATTTCTTAAGAAAGAGTGCTTAATAGCCAACATTTAAAAACACTGCAATAAATAAATTTTCCTTAAAAAATTGTATATCAAAATATATAGAAACAATATGTACATGATGATATGTACACATATGTTTTCAGGAGCCTCTTAAATACTGTTTCTGTTAAATGTAGGAATCAAGAAAGGGACATTTTCTGTGCTTTATATGTCTCCCGAGACTTTACTAGACATAGATTCCTGGAAAGACATGCTGTTGGGTTCTAAGATTTATAAAGAGAGTGTCTGCCTTATTGCAATAGATGAGGAACACATTATGGAGTCATGGTAAGGAAACTTCACAATCATTCAACAAAAGATAATTTGATGTGTTTTATTTATTAAAACCTTTCCATTTTTTTTTGCGGGGGGGGGGGGGGTAATTAATACATGTTTAAGATAACTCCTCAACCTAAATATTTTTCTTTTGAATGACATAGAATTTTTATGTTCAAATAAGATAAACAGAAATATTTTAAGTACAAAATTTCTATTGCATGATACTTCAATTCTAATCTACAGGGGTGAAACATTTAGACCTACATTTGCCAGACTTGGTGAGCTGAGGTCCCATTTCCCCAGCACACCCTTTTTATTGTTAACTGCCACATGCACACAACATATCTTGAGGCAGATTACAACAAGGATTCACCTACCAAACCTGAAAATGTTTAGTACATCTCCTGACAGGTACATGGTACAGATTTCAAACATTTTATTTACAAGCCTAAATATACTGGTATATTATTGTACATAAAATATAAACACATAATTTTTACAGGCCAAACATATACCTTGAGTGTCAAAGAGGCAGTGACATTTTCAAAGACCTTCACTGGCTATTTGAGGAGGTGAAGGAAAAGGGAATTAAAACTAGGAAGTCTTTGATATATGTAAGGTAAGATAATTCATAAAATGCATTATTTACTGATTAAAAACACACATTTTCAGATCCAAATTTTCAAGATACATTATGCATTTACTGTAGCCCATTTACCATTAACTGTATGTTTTAAATTGAAATTTTGTAGAAGTTTAAGTAAAGGTGGCTGCCTGTACAGAGACATATTAGGTCATTTGAAAGAGCATGCATTCCATGAGAAAAAGAAAACTCAGCAAAACAGCTTCATTGCACTATATCATGCTGGGATGAATTCCAAAGACTTGAACTATATACTCCATGAAATTTCAAAACCAGACAGTGTCATCAGGATTGCCATATGCACCATTGCTTTTGGCATGGGCATAAACATTCCTGATATTGATATTGTAATTCACTGGGGTGCTTGTTATTCTATCATGGACTACTGGCAGGAAGTGGGTAGGGCAGGGCGAGATGGAAGGGAAGCACAAGCCTTATATTTTATCACACCTGGATCACTTTTGCACACAAGTGATGATATGAAGGAGTTGTGTAGATCAGTAGAGAAGAAGGAATCCAAGTGTTTTCGGGATACTATCTTATCTCATTTTATTGGCCATAACAGCACATCAAAACCAGTTTGCACACTACAGTGCACAGAATGCAAGTGTTCATTATGCAAGTGTTGTTATTTATGCCGTCAAGATTGTCCATGTAGGAATGACAAATGAAAGACAAAGTAAGTGTCTCTAAATATCTTATTTTCAAACACTCATATACTTACTCCTATTCATACAAGAATTCTTCATTTTCAAGTGCTTTTACATACTTTTTCAGTCTGTTGTTTAGCTTTTCTGGGCTTTTTATACAAATTTTGTGCTCAAAATTAGCATAGCCATGATGGTGCCTTTGTCTATCTTTATCTTTAAAGAGGTCCTCAGACCTGTACTCCTCCACAAACTTTTTTATTTTAGACATAGAGGAACCGTCTGTTGATGTGGCTTTGGGGATGTAGTCTTGGATCACCTCTTGAAATATGTTCTCTATTGCCTTTCCCACACTGGCCACTATTTTGCTACATCTTGATACCTGGGTCTCGCTGTACTGTCCATGGCAATTCTTCAGATTGGCTGAAAAGGTAAAATAAATTTTATTGATAATAACATACAGTTAATAACTACTTTTGATTATTGCTTTTTTATTACATGTATTTATTTCGTAATTTAGTGAATACAAATAGTTTGCCTTCACCTTTGAATTCATTGTTCAGGAACTCATTTACAAGGTCTAAGGCTATGTTGTGGCCAGGTTTACCGACAAGATTTGCTGTGCTATTCCATATCAGTTCGTGCCTGATTCGTGCTGGAAGCCATCCACTTACTCCTGAAGTATACGGTAAAAATTAAAATGATTCAAATTTCTCTACATGTACTTGTACAAAATCTCATTCATTGCATTTGGTATTACCTGCCAATAACCGATGGCCCAAAATAAGATACTTGTTGTGGTTGTTATTCCAGAAGTGGACCATGTCGAGTCTCCAGTCCGCGATGATTTGGTGGCCATCATTTTCACGTTCGGCTAATGTCTGCACCATATGAAGTAGACCTCGCCAAACCATGCACCGACTGTAATTGAACACAGAATCGTGGCTCTCTTGATGCGTCTCTGTAAGTTCCTCTTCTACTGAAAGTAAGATATATATGTACATGTATATGCCATATAAATGGAGAACTATTATATTAGGAAGTATCCATTACATATTCATTACCAAAATCATCATCTTCATTTTCTTCATAGTATGGCAATGTCTCGTCAAGGGAGGAGTCATAGTCGTCATTCCAATAGTCAATGGTGTCATCCAGAAACCTAGGGTCTTCAGAATCTGAGGTGGACTCCTGATTGACCAGACTGTCATCTCCTCGTATTGCCTGTTGGATGGACTGCTTGTCAATTTGAGGCCAAACCAGATTGATGACTTGTTCACAAATGTTCATGAAGAGATTTTGAACTGCTGCATGATCTGTTGGAATTGTTTGACAAATCTCATCTATGTTGTCTATATTGAGTAAGTTGCACACAATGAGACACACACTTGATTCAGTCACAAAGTTGAAGAAATCTACACAGGAATTCACACAGTCTGATGTTTTTTTCTTTACAGTACGAAACCCAAACTTGTTTTTTATCTGGAACAAGGATCCTTTATCCCCTACTGTGCTTCCACTAAAGAGAGAGTTCATAGAGTCCTGCAGTACAATACATCTCTTGTGAAAGCCTTGGGGACGAGGAATGAGGCCCTTCAGTTGGTCTGTCTCATCCTCACTGAAAGCCATAGAGAGTTTCGCGTCCACCATCCTCTCCACACTGAGTTGGTCCCCATGGCAGAGGATAGGATAGGGCTTTCCATCCTGTGAAACTGGAACATACTTGTGCAGGTACTTCATTATCTCAAGAGTTCCTTTGGCAGAGGAGGGGTTTTCCTGAATTACACCTAGATTTACCTGTGAGATTAATATTGAAATGCACTATGATTTATACATTCATGTATATAGCACAATTTATTTTAAATTTACCATATGAAGTAAACTTACAATCTTTGACTTTTTAGCTGCAGTATCTGAGTATTCATGGTAGTATGGAGGGATTTCCACGTCACAGAATTGTTGAAAGTTCCGCTTCACCATGGTCTGGACCACATATTCCATCCTTTGCTTTAGATGTTGCCAATCATGGGCAGATGGTAGGTAATTCTGAAATAGCAAATTAACATTTTCAATACTATATGTATTTGTTATCAATTACATTGATTTAAAAAAATTCCAGTTATACAGAAATGTAAAAAGACTACATCATATGCTTCAGCTATACATACCTCAAGGCCTATGTCTTTAACAGAACAAACATCATCTTCACTGAGGTCCCGGAAAGATATTCTGTTTTTTGCAGCAAAGCAAAGTGCCCATAACATCATTTTATTGTCTTGTCGCAAGAAGTGACGACTGACACTAAGTTTTTGAACATTGTCCCAACATACACTGTATCCTGGATCTAGATAAAAGTACATGACACAATCACCATTTTGAAGAACAATATTAACACGAATAAACTTGCTCAATTTGAATACTTATATTGGGATAAATTAATGGTTTCAGTTACTTTGATCTACATGGTGAACTGAATCATTTTGATAGCTGGAGTCATCAAAATCTGATGGAAGAGGGATTGCCTCCAATTCATCCTCCTCACTGCTGATCTCATCAGGCTCATCAGAACTGGAAGAAATGTAGGAACTAGAATCATCTGCCTCCGATCTATCCGACTCATCAGATTCCGCAGCACCCTCATCAGATTCCGCAGCAGCTCTGTCCTCTTGGTCAGCCACAGGGTGTCCCAATTCCTCCTAGATTTGCACATAAAAGAATATCAACTTTGATAAACATTTACTAGTAACAGCACTATTTACTTTTTTGGGCCTCAAAAAGTACTTATCAAATTATTTCATGTATTATGTATGCCTGTTATTTATAGCATAAATTTATTTCCTTAATTACCTGAATTTCATTTCTCCATTTCATTATTTCTGCATCATATTCAGAGCACAGTTTGTCCACAGCTGCCCGTGTACCTTTGACCCCCTTGCACCATCCTAGCTTTTGAAACCACCTAAAGAGCTGAAATACAGTCATACAGACAATACAATGAATTATTACCGGTAATTAGCATTAACCCTTGATGTAGACATGATAATTTGATGAACATCTGAGTCGTAAGACCTAGTTAAAGTTAGGATGAAGCTACTTCCAAAGATTTGAAACTGATATGTCATACCTTTTGGTTGCAGCCAGACCGATACATTTCTACAGATGTCAAGGTCTGTAGAAAACTGTTTTTCCTACTTCTTAGGTGCAGA